ATACATATGTGGTTTGCCTAATATTTCTATTAAACAGCATTGTTATAGACTATTTGAAGATGATTTCTTCCTGCTATTACTATTTTTTTGTTGTTGTTTATTTTCTTATTTTTATTTTTTTGGACAGATTGAAGATGTCTTTTAGGGAAGATAATAAAATGTAAAGGTAGAAGGGATGATCTAGTGTGGTTAGATGACATTTCTAGGTTTTAGGTCATTAAAATTTTGTTCTGAAAACTTAAATTTGGTTGCTAAATATCTAGGTCAAGTGTTCTGGAATTGAAAAAAAATGTAGGAAAATTGTGATGCTCAGTATTTGCCACTTTCTGGTATTTCCTGAGTGGTCATTGGATATCCTAGATCCCTGAATCTATAGATTCCTGTCTATAGAAGATGGATTAGAAAGAAGTAAATACAGATGGGTTTTTGGCATGGGGGTACTATGGGAATTAAGTAAAGCTAACTTTGATCTTGTCTCTCTTATTTGAAATAAGACAACTGGGTTGTTTTATGTCTGCATTGACCTGCTAGCAGAAAGAAATAATTTGAACTGTAATTAGGTTGGGAATAATATCTAATTACTCAGGGAGTCTGTGAATTTAACTAGTTTTAGCAAAAAACTCTAGGTAAAAGTTAGAAAGCCCAATTCCAAGTGTTTTTAAATTAAAATTTAATTTAAAAATCATCATATCCTCAGATCAACAATTCACGGGCTTCCTTCACTTTTAGAAAGCTATATAAACTAAAACGGGACTCCTCTTTTCTCTGTATTCACAAGTGGCACCTGGGTTATAGCCTCTTTTTATGCCCACGATCCTGCTCAGTCACTTCCGCCCTGGAGCAATGAGAAGAGAATAGATGGAGAAATGAGCCTGGCACTTGGGAATGACAGAAAACCAAACCCAAAATAAAACCCCTCGTGCAGGTCTTCAGACACACAAATGCTCTGTGTCTGTCCCTGTCCTTCATGACTCATTGGCATGAACTTTCTCTTGTCTAGTGACCTCAAGAAAAGATATTAAAATACACATTGAGAATTTATGGAAATGACAGAATTAAGACTATGAGTATCATAGACCATGAGGAACTGTCTAGGACTCTCCTGGGAAGAACACAGCAGCATCGCAAAGAAGAACATGTGCTGATTTATTTCTGGGATTGGACAACAGGCCATCCACGCCAGACATGGCAGCAGAGACGATGGCCTGGCAGGTGCCGTGAAAGGAAAGAACTCACTACTGGGTGAACCAGAAAAAGTAAACGAGGATAGAGGCAAACGTGCACGATTTCCCCTCCACTGTCCGGAACATCTTCCCAAAGCTGTAAAATGTCCAATTGCATGCCATCGCGTTGCCAGCGAAGTGCCACCCTTTCTCCACTGAGTGCCCGTTTGGAGTTCTTACTCACTTCTTGTCTATTGGCTTTCTAAAGAAGAAGGGAAGGCAACCGCTCATTGGATACACGATGCCAATATATTATGAAGAAGATGTTATTGCTAATCTTTTTCTGGCTCAAATGGTTGCTAGATGATAAGTCTAAACTGGATGAAATTCATCTTGATTTATGACAGAAATGTTCCCAATTAACTTATTTTTATGGTGCAAATTAAGTGAGTGGGGCTGGCGTTTTAACAAAGTTAAATCAAAGTTGTTTAAATGTGTCTTGGAAAGCTGGGCTGGGCTCTCTTATTAGGTCTCTGGGGTTTAAAAGAAGGGCCTCAGCAGAGTCTGTTAGCTTGTGTTGTGGCTCCATGGAGTTGTCAGGGCGTGGTTGAAACCAATAAAAGTGATGCACGGATGCTAAGAGTCTACGTAAGCTACCCAGACACATACGTACAGTACAGTGCCAGATTTGATGTATGAAAATGCAGCAATAGCCTTGGCCGGTGTGGTTCAGTTGGTTGGAGCATTGTCCCATGCACCATAAGGTCACCGATTTGATTCCCAGTCAGGGCACATACCCAGGTTTCAAGTTCGAACCCCAGTTGGGGCTCACGCGGGAGGCAACTGATCGATGTTTCACTCTCAAATAGATGTTTCTCTCTTTCTAAAATTAATAAAAGCATGTCCTTGGTGAGGATTAAAAAAAGAAGCAGCAATAAGCACTTGAAAACCGTTGTTACATCACTTATATTTGACAGGAATGGATGTAATTGAGCCTAAAATTGCCAATGTGAGTTGCTGAAATAAGAAAAGTATGTGAATGATACTAAAAATTTTCAGCCATCAAACACACACAAAATGGCTGGGCATGATGGTTTTGTCACTATATTTGAAGAAGAAATTGAATAATTAATTGAGTAACAATGACTAACAAAAATTGCTGTAGGGGTTTCAAGAGTGATTTTGACTACACATAACACGTACTTTCTGGATTTTTAGAAACATTAACAGCCCTCCTAAGGTAGACCTCATTGTACATGTACAACTTTAACTCACACATATACACATATGATTTACAAAATCATTGCAAAAATTAATCTTAATTACATGGAATCCAGAAACAGCTTGGACACCATTCTTTCGATTTTTAGAGGAGCAATCCCTGTTTATTTCTTATTTTCTTATTTCCTATTTCTTCTCTCTGTTGCCCAGATCAGTACTTTCCTCTGTTACAGTGAAGTAGAAGAGACAAAATGTACAGAAAGAGTTTTCAGAGACTAGTATCAAACTGGTATTTCTGTTAGGCCCACCTTGGAACAAATGAGTACAAGAAGTTTAAAGACATTTTCTGAATGCTAGGGAGAAATCACAGGGAAGCTGTCGTAACCGGAGCAAGTCCTGTGCCAGGAAATTGCCTGTGGTGGGTCCCTGCTAGGTCATCCCAGAGGAATGACTCAGAGCCTGAGGGGCCGTCTAGGGAGTGGGAGGGGCCATCGTCTGGTGGGGGTGGGGGACAGCAAGCTACATTGCAGCGTGAGGTGGGTGATGGCCTCATAGCTCCTTGACCTATTTATTCAACAAGTGCGGGTTCTTCAGTAGCCCTCTGAACTTGGGCAGTGACTCATGATAAAAGAGCTTTCTATTCTGCTGTGTGGAATTTTCTATAAGGAAATAAGGGAAAATGTAAATGTTCTCTGATTTCAGCAGAGACTAGACAATGCTGCAGTTCTTATAAATTTCAGGACATAACCAGTGTTGCTACAACAGACAGCATATCTTATCAGTATCACAAAGTTTGGCTCCTAATTAAGAATTTCCTCTTTCTATAGGTATATAATGCAAATGTGTTTGAGAGACTCTTAAATTATATCCCCCAAATTAAAGATATGGTAGGATGGGGGAAAAAAAGACTGAAAAATTCCAGATGTTCTTCTATTCCAGTGGTTTTCAACCTTTTTCATCTCTTGGCACACATAAACTAATTACTAAAATTCTGTGGCACACCAAAAAATATATTAAACATTTTGCCAATTTGACAAAAACAAAAACAAAAAGGCATAATTTTGATTCATTCACACCGGACGGTTATTGTTATGTTGACTGTTGTCATGTTTTATTTGACAATCGAAGGGAGAAGAGGCCGTGCCCCTGACTAAATAGTCAGGTATTACATGTTTTAAAAATTCTTGGGATGCACAAGTTGAAAATCACTGTTCTGTCCTGTACATGGTGTAATTACAAAGGACACCTTTCCAAAGGAAAATATCACTGGACTTGAAATGGGAAGTAATTTCAGTTTTTCACAGCCCCCACTAAACAGTATTGTATTTGACACTTACAGCCACTAGGTCGCTTTAGTGCTCTGTCTTAGTGTTTCCTCATTGAGAACAGTGAGCATATTATCCTTGCAAAAAAGCACTTCTTAGATTAAACACATTTATAATTTGTTTTATCAAACACCTATTCTTTGCCTTGATAAAAATATGCGTCTTTATGTCACTTCCATGGACAATTTCTTATGAATTTCCAACACTGATACTATTTTATAGTAAACTCCTAATTTACTCAGAATCAAGACAGCAGAAAACTCTAGGAGAAAATTATATATTGGTCAGAAAAGCAACCTACAGAAAAATGCACATGTATTTTGATCATTTCTAACTTTTATAGCCCAATAGAAAGAATAAGTCCTTATAGAACCTGGTGTATTATAAGATCCTGAACGACCTTTTGAATCATCAAGGACAGATTTACCTTCAGTATAATTTTATGTTGATCACTCTATCCTAATTCTTTGAAAATTTATACATGTATGTCCTATTGTAAGCTTCTAAGAACAAGAACATTCTTTTTTCCCTCTTCTCCCAAATATTTTCATTCTCATTCACTCAGGTAAGTAATAACCCACGATTATAAACCCCAGTTAACTAGGACATTCTTTTTAATTTGTCCTCCCAAAGTATCCTCTTTCTCAATAATCCTAGGTAGGTTCCATAAATAACTGTAAGTGGAAAAAAATCGGTTTTTAGGAATGTTCTGAAAGCTTCCACAGGAGACGCTTAAATGATTGTCTTCAAACAGTTGTAACAGAAAGGAAATAAAATGTTGAAGCACCCCGAGAATCCAAAACCAAATTGCAGCAGAGAGTCTCATTTTGAATAGTGGCTCCTGCAAGACCTTTGCTGCTGGTGCCGCCTACCACTGTTACCACAGGTGGGAAACTAATCAGACTGAGAGGCATTATAAAACAGGAAGCCCCTCGGATGACTTACTTCAACATAATGATTGGCTGTGTTATAAGCTTCCCTTCCAATTAATTTTATTATTTTAGTTGACGGAATCACAGAAGTGAGAAGAGCCGGGAAAAGTGAGCACTGCACCCAGCAGAAGCCACAGTCCCAATGCCTGCAATTACTTGATAAAACAATGAAGATGCAGGATGCTGAGCATTGGCTTTGAGGGTAAATATTGAGGGTGACAGACATAGACTGGAAAGGTTTTTATTTTTCGTATTCAGTCAAATCAGTCTGCATATATTTCATGTCCTACTGTGAGTGGAATAAGTCTTCAAGCTAGAATCAGAAACTCTAGAGTCTTTTATTACATTTCTTTACTCACCTTCCATGGGGGTGTTGCTGTCTGGTCGATTTGCAAAGACTACATCCACATACTCGAGCTGCAGCCTCTGGAGGGAGCCTTTCAACCCTGGGAACAGAAGCAGGGCAACCAGACAGGGACAAATATGAACACTATCAGAAAGAGTGGAAATTCGGTTATCTTTAAGAATTTACTTAAAAAAAACAAAACACATCAAAAACAAAAACACTGGACTAGTTTAAAAAAGGCACTGAATACAATGAAGTGTTAATTGACCCCTAAAACCTTGTAAAAATATGTCAAAGGCCAATTTTGTCCCCAAGAACGAAAAGTCTCAGAATTTTCTCTCTGACTTTCGTACTCTAACCACACTGGAAAAATACACACTTGGTGACAACCTTGCAGTGACTTACGTGTGACAGTATCTAGAAATGACGTTTAGAGTAAAAAGCAGCTGAAGAGTTTCTTCTTGAAAAATGCAAATTAATGTCATCTATTTAATTACCTAATGGGCTTATAATGGGATGGAGATATATTTATTGTACAGTAAAATACAAAACTAATATAAATCAGAAATAAGTGACTCCCAACTCCACAATGGGGTATAACAGGAATAAAAGCATTGGCAAGTGAGGGCGTTACTCAACATCTGATTGGAACCAAGTTCGAAGAAACTGAAATATAGCTGAGTCTTCCCATTTTTGCTATTTGCCATTCTTTTGGGGAGAAGCAAAAATACAAGAAGCTATAAAGACTGAAGAGGTAATATAAAGGACAAAGTGAGAGCTTAAAATAAAATCTGGAACCCATAATCTATGTTTCAACCTTAACTATTTGGTCACATTCCTATGAGTATTCAGAAAAAAATTTTTAATTTCAGTAAAATTAATACCTTCCTTGAAATAGAATGCATCGCAGATAATATTGTACAACCAAAAGGATGACAGTGATCAAGAGTCATTTTATCTCATTTCCATGAGGCACAGCTTTTCCTTATCAGCCTTTTTAATTTCTCAGGAAGACCGGAGGTTTTTCTCTGTTTTATTATAGGCATAAAATTAATTGCATGTTCAATGAGGCTCTTATAAATTTAAATTTGGCTCATTTAAATCTGATTTCTCAAACGGGTGTATTGGCCAGCCACGATGACCTTTCTGACAGGAAAACGAAGTGTTTGAGTATAGTTCCGGAAATATTTTTCATTCATTAAGAAAGGATTGTCTATGGTGGCAGCTTGTTAAAAGAAGTATTGATGAGAAGATTAGGGCAGACAGGTGTTATACGGTCTATGTCTGCTCTTTTAAAACTGCGATGACTTTCAGGCTCAGGGTATTACCAGCTATCTCAAGGGGCAGCTTGCAATTAAATTTTCCTTAAAAAACACTATGATATGAGCCACTTTTTGGAAGCGGTTGTACGTATGGAGAAGGCGGGGGAGGGGAGAGGATAGTGAAGCAAACAGATAAATAGGGTGTTACAAGGTTGAAAGGTTGGAAATCTACCCTAGTATGCTGTGTGATTTCACTTGGCTTATGTTACCTTTTCAGTGACTCAGTTCTCTGATCTGCACCGGGGATGACAGTGCTTTCTACCTTCGGAATTGCTGCTCCAGAGAGCAAATAAAATCAGTTGGTAAGTAGTTTGTAAGTGGAATAGCCTATGGTAGCATGGTAATTCTAATGGCGGTAATCCCATATGGAAAGGTTCAGAATGAGAGGTGCCAGCCACGAAATGCCACATATTTTTCACTAGACCCCTTGGTGTTGGAGGGAGGCATTTAGTGACATTCTGGCCCACGCCTGGCACTGAAAACAATGTCCTCCTTTCTAATGATGGCCCTCTCCTTCTGTGTCTCTTCTAAACTGCTCACGGTGGGCTGGGAGTAAGCAGGAGAAGAAGCTATGACTGACTTGGCCCTATAGAAATGCTAGATGATAGGTCACGACTTAAGCCATTTACTCTTTTATACCATAAGCTTGTTCTGCATCCCAATTTGATTCTGAAAATGTGCTGGGCTCTGGGAGTATAAAGATGTATGGACATTATATTCATTCCCAAGGAGCTAACAGTGCATATTGAAAGCACCTATTTGCATAGGTTCATTATTCAAGGTAATAGTGTGTACCCCCAAATAGTGGCATGGACTTGATAGAAAGGTCCTTATAACTGGGAAGCAGAGATTCAAGTGTATTCATGTAATAATGTAAGAAATAAGGTGTTGTAGCATGTTAGTGATCCACCTGGTCCCTCTCTGACTTTAAAGTGGAGTAAAAGGAGATTGTGCCCCTTTGAGACACTATCCACTCACTTTGGAAATCTCAAGTCTTGTAATCTGTGGTATGAATCATGGATTTAACTCTTCATGAGATGAAAAACATTGGTGGGGAAACTGGAAGGTAGGAAATGGGAGTGAAGCAGGGGAAATGGTATTTCTCTGAAATATGTAATAGGAGAGGTTTTCATTTTGAACTGATTACTCGGTGTGCTGAGAATGACCTGCAGGGGGCAAGAGTGAAAGCAGGGAGAAAGACCACGAAGGAGGCTACAAATGGACCAAGTTGGTGAAAAGTATTCAGTTAGGGGACAAGGTTTATTAGTAGAAATAAGAGGACTTGCTGGTGTGCTGGATCAGAGTTTGGAGGTAGAGGAATCAAGGATGACTCTTGGATTTTGGGCCTGAGAAGTGAAATGGCTGTTAGCAAGATGAGGAAGTCAAGGGAAAAGCAGGTTGGTGGTGGAGGTGGTGGGAGCCATGAGAGGTTCAGCAGCATGTCAGTGGACCACACAGGGAGCTCTTAGCAGCTGACTGGACCAGCCTGGTATTCAGACAGAGGTCCAGATGCAGGTGAGACACAGGATTTGGATCCAGAGTACTAATTCGGGCTGGCCTGAATGACCTCGCCTATGTCTCTCAGCCTCTCCGGGCCTTAGTTTCCTCATCTGTTCAAAGACAAAATGGAGCTAGATGAACCTTCTTCTTTGAACTTTCATGTGATTGCAAACCAAATCAGGTAGTCCTTCCTTTTCCTATTTGGATGCTTTGATCTTGTAGAAATAGCTAAATCATAGCAACATAAAAACATACTTAACAAATGTCTCCTTGAAAGCCATTTAGAGTTATTTCCAATAAATAGTCAAGTTCTATCTCCACTTAGCAAATGTTTGTTAAGCACGGGCTTGGGGCCAGGTATTGTTTTAAGTTTAAGTAGACATACAAAAATACATTAACCTTGGCTCTAGAGGGGCATCCAGACCGCTAAGGAGGTAAGTGCTCCAGGGTTGTGAGTGCACTTGCTGAAGGCACTTTGACGTTAGCTTGTCCCAGTGTCTGTGGGAATGAATACAAGAGAAGCAGGGGAAATGCTCCCTGCCCTTGAGGAATGTCTAGAAATTAACTGGCAATTCCTCAAAAGTCCACAGAATAATAAATTATGTTATACAAAGAAAGTAGCTTTCAAGTGACTACAGTAAAGAGAAATCTGAGTTCATTTTTCTTTTAGGGGCTGAAGTTTAACAGGAACTATATTGTTTACAAGGTGATTCAGTTTAAGCCTGTTTTACAGGCGTCTGTCTAGAGACATGCTCATTGCAGACATTAAGCAGATTGGCTTACAGGTGGGTCAGGTGCTCAGCATTGCAGTTTTAACTGTAGAAACAAGGAAACTGGTAGTTTGGAGATTCTGCAAGGGTTTATTCAAATGTGCTGTATCTTTTACATCTATCATACATTTGATTTCCTATCTAGCTTGAAAAAAAAAGTTACCATAAGTAATGTACACAGTTTTCCTATATAATTTTCGAGGTTCTTTTTGGCAGACCTCAGTCATGATTTAAGACACCCTTGCTTTTTTTATTTGAATAAAGACTGCACTGTATTAGGACAACATGTGTGCCTGCCTCTCCTGTTGTGAAACATGATTATCCTGGTGGATAATTTCTATTGCTATGAACATGATACACTGAGAAGGAATCCTGTGGTGAATCCATTTGTTATAAAATTTATTTTTAAATTAAAACCTAATAAATTGTCTTTTTATTTATTTATTTTTAAATTAAATTAAACTTTTTTTCTAACTTACCTTAATTGTTGAATGTATTACAGATGTTCCTCATTTTTCCCCTATTGACCCCTCCTCCCCACTCCTGCCCCCCTCCTGCCTTTCCCCACACTGTTGTGAGTCCATTGGTTATGCATATATACGTATAAGTTCTTTGGTTTATTTATTCCCCTCCCCCAACCCCCTTCTCATCTGGCAACCAACAAAATGTTTTCTGTATCTATGAGAATGTTTCTGTTCTGCTTGTGCATTTTGTTTGTAGATTCAATTGTCAATAGATATGTATTCATAGTCATTTTGTTTGTTCATATTTTTTTATCTTTTTCTTCAAAAAGACCCTTCAACACTTCATATAATAATGGTTTGGTGATGATGAACTCCTTTAGCTTTTCTTTGTCTGGGAAAGAAACTCTTTATATGGCCATCGATTCTAAATGACAGCTTTGCAGGATAGAGTAATCTTGGTTGTAGGTTCTTGCTTTTCATCACTCTGAATATTTCTTGCCACTCCCTTTGGCCTGCAAAGTTTCTTTTGAAAAATCAGCTGACAGTCTTATGGGAACTCCCTTGTAAGTAACTAACTGCTTTTCTCTCGCTGCTTTTAAGATTCTCTCTTTGTCTTTAACCTTTTGCATTTTGATGATGATGTGTCTTGGTGTGGGACTCTTGGGGTTCATCTTGTTTGGGATTCTCTGTGCTTCCTGGACTTGTATGTCTGTTTCCTTCACGAAGTTAGGGAAGTTTTCTGCCATTATTGTTTCAAATAGGTTTTCGATTTCTTGTTCTCTCTCTTCTCCTAGCACCCTCAAGATGCGAATGTTGGCATGCTTGAAGTTGTCCCAGAGATTCCTTACACTATCCTCACTTTTTTGGATTCTTTTTTCTTTTTGCTGTTCTGATTGTGTGTTTTTTGTTTCCTTATATTCCAAATCAATTGTTTGCTTCTTGGCTTTATCTACTCTACTATTGAATCTCTGTAAATTATTTTTTATTTCAGTTAGTGCCTCCTTCATTTCTGACTGGTCCTTTTTTATACTCTTGAGGCCCTCA